TGGTGAGTTGGTGGGGCCTGGGTTTGTTTGAGAGATTTTTTTTCAAGGCGCACTTCAGCACGCCTCACGCGTGGCTGGGCGTGTCGGCAGTCATCCTGGCGGAGCTGGGGGGGCTGCTGGGAGTTTTACTGTGTATCAACACTCTGCGCATCTCCAGGGCGCTCATTGGGCGACTGCACTTCCTGCACCGCATGGTGGGTGGGTGGTGATGTCACTGGGTGCTGTTCGAGGCCGGCTGGTCATCTTCTGTGGACTCTTCATCATCATCCTCCGTCTTTCAAGATTTTCTTCCCTCTCCCCAAGCAGCACATGTCGCTGAGCGAACAGTCAATCAAGTTGTCTTTTTCCCCCCCTTTTCCCTCCCCCCATCCACCCCTCTCCACACCCCCTTCTTCTTTCCCCCCTCCCGTGTTCGACCTCGCCAGGTGGGGAGGTTGGTGATCGTCTGTGGGTTTATCGCCATCATTCTCGCTCTCAAGATCTTTGACGCACAAAACCCTCGCAATAAGGTGAGTGAGACCCCATCCCGTCATCACTCATTCCCGCACCATCCTATCCCCAACCCCTCTCATCCCTTCCATCCCATCCCATGCTTCCACCATTTCATCCCCCCATCATCCCATCGCCCCAATGCCCGTGCGCACACCCCACCCCGTCGCCACCCTTAGTTGTACATCTCTTCCCACCTTCCCATTCTCTCCCCTCACTACACAACTCTTCCCACCTTCCCATTCTCTCCCCTCACTACACATCTCTCCCCACCATCCCATTCTCTCCTCTCGTTTGGCATCCCTTCTCCCACCATCTTATCGGCACCCCTCATTTGCATCACTTCCACTTTATCTCCCCCTCTCCTGCCTTTCACTCTCCTGCCTCTTCCAGGGTTAGAAGACCTACTACGTGATGGCGTGTGTAGTGCTGGCACAGCTACTGGGCACATCTCTCCGCTGTAATAGTATGTGCATTTCGTCTCTTCCTCCCCATCTTTCCCCTTCTCTTCCTTCAGGGCTGGAAGACCTATGTGATGGCGTGTGGAGTGGTGGCACAGCTAGTGGGCATGTCGTCTCTCCTCTATTCCTCGTCTCCCATAGCAGCAGCAGTCAGCAGCAGTAGCAGTGGCGGCGGTGCTGGTAGCAGTGTGGGTCTTGTCCCCAGACAGTCCCCGAAGCAGGCACGGCCACAGAGATCAGGTTCGGGTGTGGGTAGCATTGGTGGGGTTGGGAGAGGGGAGGTACGGAGAGACTTGGAGGCAGGAATGGGAAGCGGAGATGTTGGGAAAAAGGATTCTGATTGATCAAGATCGAGATTATGTGTGTCTGGAGTTGTGATTCAAAAATCTGTGGCCTGGTTGCTAAGTACATGGCTCACTAACATGTGTATAGTGTCTTGCTGGCCGTTTTTTAAGCGTGGTGTCAATCAGTAGGTGCTAATGGGCGGTTGGCAAGCTGCTATTGTTTTTGCCACACTTCATTAAAGGAGTGTTTGAGAGTTAGCTGATCCCCTTCTTTTCACACTATTGCCGTGATCAGTGTATTTCATTAGTGTAGCGCAATCGAGTCGTTCAACAGTGATTGGTTCGTTTCCCCCCACCGCAAGGATACAGCACCCGGGGAGGGGTGCTTCGTGGAATTTTGTTGTGGCAGCCGCTCAATCTGCTCCTCGAGCCGCGCGCCTTTAGAATGCTGTCGCGACTCGGAAGTTTTGGTTTGGCGGAATTTCCTGCCCCCGGTTTCCGAAGCTTGCCAGAACGACTCGGTGTTGGAGACGAAGCGCAGACCCTGGGCAGAAAAAAAGCTTGGCGCTGTGGCGTGTGCGCCATACGGAGTTTCCACTAAAAATATTTTATTCCCCATCCCTGTCTGGTTCGCTTGGCTGGCCCAAAAATGGACCTGACAGGCTCGAACCAGAACTTTTTTCCAAATGTTGATCACGAAAGCCTACCGAGCCACACCCCTCCCCGAGTTCATCACTTCAGCACGCACACATCCCTAGGTTCCTCTGCTACGCATACACACATACCACCGAAACCTACAGACTAGCCATGTGGTAGTTAGGTTGGCTGAACCTGGAGTTGACGATACAATGCTCTGTTCATCGGCTTACCATACTGATGATCATAGACTAGGCAGGCTGTTAGCTGTCACCTCTTTTTGTTGTTGTCCTACAGGTAGGTTCCTGTCCCTTATTGTCAGTGGTATCTCGTTTAGCTTGTCTGTACCACAGCCCTAAACTCCCGACAATTTGTAAACGGGCTGACGTGGCTAACACAGTCGTCTGCACACGATTAACCTGTTGTCACAAACAGCGGTTTGCCATTCGCATTGTATAGGCGTCTGTTCGTGCGTTCTATTCCCAACCCCGTGAACTGACCAGTTGTGGTAACCAGAGTCACCCTGGCGCATCCGTATGTCTGTTACAACCGCTTTTTAAGTCCACTAAAAAAAACTGTGGTAACCAGAGCTACCCTGGCGTATCCGTATGACAGTCACAGCCGCGTTGCCGCTCGCAATCTGAGGCGTCTCGAAGAGCAGCCATATGACTGTCGCAGCCCCACGACTCGTTGTCGACCAGATCATCTCATCACAGAGAGATGTAACCGTGTTCAGTTCCAGCAACCGAGAACATTCCAGCCGCGATGCCGTCCCGAATCGCGCCGTACTTAGTAGCTCCAAGTGCCAGAACTCAAAAGGCAACTCCCATGACGCATCTAAGAAGGCTGGGCTCTGCTCGAGCCTCAATGTCCACTGTCGAAGCAGCTCTAATCGGGGCTTTAGACAATTCCGTTTTAATGAGTCGAGAAACGTCAACAGCGGTCGCAGATACCGAAGCTGTCTTCATCCTGAGTCAAACCACGATCCATGGCGGCAATGGCGGCTGAAGCTGGTGCTGCTGCTGGTCCCGGTGCTTCTATCCCTCCTCATGCCCGTCGCCCGAAGCGCATCGGCGCCTGGATCCGTTTCCGAGTCGTCTTTAACGCCCGAGTCCCATTCAAACGGTCGGACGCGGCCCCGCTCTCTCGCGGGAGGAGCGCCGGCAGCGGAGATCTGCGCGGGTGCGTGCGGGAACCACGAGTGGGAGGCGCTGAGTCCTTCCGCGACCAAGGGGAACTGCTCGTGCGTTCGGCCGCTGGAGCTGAAAATCGAGTTCTCTAACGCGTCCGATATCGAGACGAATTTCCGGCCTTTTATCCAGGTAACGGGAAGGATTGTATCGGGGACAGACAGGCGTTTTTAGAGACCAAGGGGAACTGCTCGTGCGTGCGGCCGTTGGAGCTGAAAATTGAGTTCTCGAACGCGTCGGAGATCGAGACGAACTTCCGGCCGTTTATCCAGGTAACGGGGATGACTTTATTGGGGACAGCCGCGCGGCACCAAAAAATCAGATGAAACGCAGCAAAGCAACACCCGTAGTGAGAGGAACAGATTAAACTGCTTCTCTTATCTCCTTCTCCTTCTCATCTGCTCGAGTCCTGCTGACACGCCTTTCTCAACCTGCCTTCAACTCGCATGGTTCCCCTTTTACCCCCTCGATTTCTCCCCCTCGATCTCTCCCCCTCGATTTCTCCCCCTCGATTTCCCCCCCTCAATTTCCCCCTCTCCGTCTCTTTCTTTTCCCAAACAAGTGCTTGCGCGGGAGCTATCCTTGCAGGAGGATCAGGTCCAATTTTTCAGGCGCCTTAAAAATAGACTCCCCCTCTCCCTCTGTCCGCACAGGTACTTGCGCGGGAGCTATCCTTGCAGGAGGATCAGATCCAGCGAAGGGCGTTGCAGCGAACCGATGGAAGCAGCGCGGCGGTAACCCTATTGTTACTGCCGAGCCACGACGTCACGTTTTCGCCAAAGTTCGTGAACAGCACTCGCCAGCGGCTGTCGCGACGCCAAGTAACGCTTGACCCGAATGTGTTCAGTAACTACACGTTGATCAGCCTGGTGCAACTAGCGCCGCCGCCACCACCCCCTCACAGTAAGCACCCTCCCAGTAAGCCCTCCCTCCCACTGTTCTAAGTAGCTGCTGCGTATGTCTCGACCCAGATGTGTTCAGTAATTACACGTTGATCAGTCTCGTGCAGCTAGCGCCACCTCCACCACCCCCTCACGGTAAGCCCCCGTCCCCCTCGCGCTCGTTGCCCGCATTCCCTGCTTTCCCTTCGTCCTCCCCTTCCTCCCCATGCCCCCTTCCCTCTCGTGCTCCTCTTTCTCCGCATGCCCCTTAACCCGCTTTCCTCTTTTCCCGCATGTCTCTTTTCCCTCTTTCCCTTTTCCCGCATGCCCCTTTCCCCTTCGTGCTCCCTTCCCCCTCATGACCCCCTTCCCCCTCGTGCCCCTCTTTTGCTACCATTTGCGCCAGGTCCCCCACCCCCTCCGTCTCCCCCTCCGCCGCCCCAAGCCCCCGCCCCTGCGCCACCGTCGGATCAGCCCAACCCAGATGGCACGGATAACAAATCCAACGGTGGAGAGAGCAGCAGCAGCAACAGCAGTAGCAGTAGCAGTGAGGGCAGCAGCAGCAGTAGTGGGAGTGGGAGTGAGAGCAACGGGGGCAGCAGTAGCAGCAGCGGTATAAGCACGGTAGCACTAATAGGGTTACTGGCAGGGGCGGCGGTGCTTATAGCACTGATCGTTATAGTCACGATCTATTGCTGCTGCTGCATACCTGGGAGGAGAAAAGGCGGCAGGGACATGGAGAAAGGAGGGGAGGAGGAGAAGCTTCGGCAGATGGTGAGGGAAGCTTCGTCCGCCGCTGCTGCCAGAAATGCGTCAGAACAAAGGGGAGGCCCACAAGGAAATGGTGTTGCCACTGATGACTATAACGGACGGGATAATAGTGGGAGTGATAGAGGGAGAGGGAACGAGGGGAGAAGAGGAGGAGGAGGGAGAGAAGGAGGGGGGGAGGGAGGAGAAGGGGACGGTGGTGGTGGCAGTGGGGCTGACAGGGGGGGTGGGAGTGGAATGCAAGAGACACCAGTGACCGAGTCAACGAATCAGTCCTCCCTCCCTCGACCAATGAGCGTTCGAGTCTTCACATTTGCTGAGCTGGCAGAGGCTACTAATAAGTACGTGACAGTGAAGCGGCTCAACCGCCCACGCACCCCCTCATAATCCCTCTTCCCCTTAGAACCCCCTCTTCCCTCATATCCCTCGTTCCCCACAAACCTCATCCCTTGCTTAGCTGGCAGAGGCTACTAATAAGTACGTTGGTCTCACTATTCTTCTCCCTACAACGAAAGTGAGAGGCTCACTCGCCCACACACCTCCTCACTCCCCCTTCTTCCCCCCGTTGCTGTCGTATCCCCCCAGTTTCGACCACGCCAACTACCTTGGGGAGGGCGGGTTCGGGCGAGTGTATAGGGGGAGACTCAAGAACGGGCAGGAGGTGGCAGTGAAGCGACTCACCCGCCTGCGCACCCCCTCATTTCCCTCCCTCCCTCCCCTTCCCTCCGCCCTCCTGCTCACCCCAAACCCCCCCTCCCTTGCAGTTTTGACCATGCCAATTACTTAGGGGAGGGCGGGTTTGGGCGAGTGTACAGAGGGAGGCTGAAGAACGGGCAGGAGGTGGCAGTGAAGCGACTCACCCGCCTGCGCGTGACAGGCAGCGGGCAGGCCAAGGGGGGCGGAGGCGGGGGCCAGGGCGAGCGCGAGTTTGTGGTGGAAGTGGAGATGCTGAGCCGCCTGCACCACCGGAATCTGGTCAAGCTGATTGGATATTGTGCCTCCCACCACCACCAGCTGCTGTGCTATGAGCTCGTGCCTAATGGGAGCCTTGAAGCCTGGTTGCATGGTACGTACGTATGTGTGTGCAGACAGTTGCACGCCTCCTTTCTTGTGCCTCCCACCACCACCAGCTGCTGTGCTACGAGCTCGTGCCCAACGGGATTCTGAAAGCGTGGTTGGATGGTGAGTGCCCCTCCCTTCCTTCCCTTCCATGCCGTGAGTGAGTTTGTGGTGGAGGTGGAGGTGCTGAGTCGCCTGGTAATAGTAATGGGTATGGCGATAGAGTATTGGTAATGGTAATGGCGATTGGGTAATGCTATTGGTAATGGTAATGCTAATGGCGATTGGGTAATGGTATTGGTAATGGTAATGGTAATGGCGATGGTAATGGTATTGGTAATGGTAATGGTAATGGTGATTGGGTAATGGTAAAGGTAATGGCGGTTTGGGTAATGGTAATGGTAATGGCAATGGTAATGGTAATGGTGATGGTAATGGTGATGGTAACGTTGATGGTAACGGTGATGGGTTACTGATAATGGTAATGGTGATGGGTTAATGATAATGGTGATGGGATAATGGTAATAGTGATGAGAAGTCTTGTGCTTTGCTCCTCGACACCGATTTCCCCCCGTCAACAACCCTCCCTCCTCGTATCTACACGAGGACTCTGAGCCCCTCGTATCTGCACGAGGACTCTGAGCCCCTCGTATCTGCACGAGGACTCTGAGCCCGTCGTCCTCCTCCCTTGCGACGCGCATGCGGGTGGCGCTGGGAGCAGCGAGGGGCCTGGCCTATCTGCATGAGGACTCACAGCCACTCGTCATTCACAGAGACCTCCATTGCACTTTCCCCTGCCTTGCGCTTCCTATTATCCCATCCCATCGCAGGTTCTTTCTCCAAAGAAATCGTGCTGGACTGGGCAACACGCATGCGGGTGGCGTTAGGGGCAGCGAGGGGGCTGGCCTATCTGCACGAGGACTCTCAGCCCCTCGTCATTCACAGAGACCTCAAGTCCTCCAACATCCTCCTGGAGAACGACTTTCTCGCTAAGGTGGCGGATTTCGGGCTGGCGAAACCGGCACCCGAGGGACCAGAAGGATACATATCGACGCGAGTCATGGGCACGTTTGGGTGAGACTTGCAATGCCTGGAGCAGCCAGCTACAGTCCATTGTAGTGCCGCCTAGAGGGAGAGAGCCTGGGGATTTTGGACTGGCGAAACCAGCTCCCGAGGGACTTGAGTGGTACATCTCGACTCACCCAAACGTGCCCAAACGGGCTCCCGAGGGCACGTTTGGGCACGTTTGGGCACGTTTGGGCACGTTTGGGTGAGTCAGTGAGAGGCACGTCCAATTGGGGCAGTGAGAGCATGTGTGGTGTGGATGGGTGACGTCCGGCGTTGGAAGATGGGAATCCCCTTGCAATGGCTGTGTCCCTCCCCACTCCCCTCCCTCACCCCCACCAAAATACGTTGCCCCAGACGTGTACGCCATGACGGGCCATCTGGTCGTTGCATCAGACGTGTACAGCTATAGCGTGGTGCTTTTAGAGCTGCTCTGCTCACAGGCAGGAAGACTGGTGTGCTGGAGATGATATGAACCCCACTCCCATGCTTCCGTCCCCCCACACCCCCTACCCCCAGGTATGTCGCACCAGAGTACGCAATGACAGGCCATCTGGTTGTTGCATCCGATGTGTACAGCTATGGCGTGGTGCTGCTAGAGCTGCTCACAGGCAGGAAGGCTGGTGCAGTGGTGGTGATGTCTCCTCCCTCCCTCCCATCACTTGCAATTCGCCCCCTCCCGTGCCCCTCAGATACATTGCTTCAGAGTATGCAATGACAGGCCATCTGGTCGTTGCATCAGACGTGTACAGCTATGGCGTGGTGCTTTTAGAGCTGCTCACAGGAATGAAGCCCGTGGACATGAGTCAGCCCCCTCTCATTGTCTCTTCCCTCCCCTGCCCCTCCCTCCCCATGCCCCCCAGATACGTCGCACCAGAGTACGCAATGACGGGCCATCTAGTGGTTGCATCAGACGTGTACAGCTATGGCGTGGTGCTTTTAGAGCTGCTCACAGGAAGGAAGCCCGTCGACATGAGCCAGCCCCCCGTCAGCCCCCGCCCTCACCGCCTCTTCCCCTCCTGCTCCTGCCCCTGTTCTCCCCATTCCTCACAGTTACGTTGCTCCTGAATATGCAATGACGGGGCACCTGGTCGTTGCATCAGACGTGTACAGCTATGGCGTGGTGCTGCTAGAGCTGCTCACAGGGAGGAAGCCCGTGGACATGAGCCGGCCCCCACTCTAAGTGCCTCTTTCCCCGCCCTTCCCCTCCCTCCCTCCCTCCGCCCCCTCTCCCCAGATATGTCGCACCAGAGTATGCAATGACAGGCCATCTCGTGGTAGCATCAGACGTGTACAGCTATGGCGTGGTGCTGCTGGAGCTGCTCACAGGGAGGAAGCCCGTGGACAGACATGAGCCAGCCCCCCACTCTAAGTGCCTCTTTCCCCGCCCTTCCCCTCCCTCCCTCTCCCCAGATATGTGGCCCCAGAGTATGCCATGACAGGCCATCTAGTAGTGGCATCAGACGTGTACAGCTATGGCGTGGTGCTGCTAGAGCTGCTCACAGGGAGGAAGCCTGTCGACATGAGCCAGCCCCCGGGCGATGAGAACTTAGTCACGTGGGCGCGACCTCGTTTAGGCAACCCTGGACGGCTTGATGAGCTGCTGGATCCAAGAATCGCCTCCCAGGTGAGAGCTTGTTGGGCTTGGAACCTTGTTCCTCGGGTTCAGAAGGTCACAGCTAGGGAGCCCGTCAACATGAGCCAGCCCCCGGGCGATGAGAACTTAGTCACGTGGGCGCGACCTCGTTTGGGCAACCCTGGGCGGCTGGATGAGCTGCTGGACCCGCGAATCGCCTCCCAGGTGAGAGCTCGTTGGGCTTAGGACCGTGCCGTGTTCCTCGGGCTAAGGATTTAGGGTCACAGGTCACAGGCAGGCAGCCCGTGGACGTGAGCCAGCCGCCTGGCGATGAGAACCTGGTCACGTGGGCGCGACCAAGGCTGGGCAACCCTGGAAGGCTTGATGAACTGCTGGACCCGAGAATTGCCTCCCAGGTGAGATGCTGTTGGCTGGAGTCAGGACACTATGAATGGGGTTCAGGTCACAGGCAGGAAGCCCGTGGACATGAGCCAGCCTCCTGGCGATGAGAACTTGGTCACGTGGGCACGGCCAAGGCTGGGCAATCCGGGACGGCTGGATGAGCTGCTGGATCCGCGGATTGCTTCCCAGGTGAGAGCTCGTTGGGCTTGGGACCGTCAGGTCGTTCCCAGGTGAGAGCTCGTTGGGCTTGGGACCGTCAGGTCGTTCCCAGGTGAGAGCTCGTTGGGCTTGGGACCTTGTTCCTCGGGTTCAGATCACAGACAGGAAACCCGTCGACATGAGCCAACCCCCGGACTATGAGAATCTGGTCATGTGGACGCAACCTTGTTTGGACAATCCGGGACGGCTCGATGAGCTTCTGGACCCGAGAATTGCCTCCCAGGTGGGACTTTTTTTAAGATTCCTCATCTGGTAAGTGCTTGTTTGGTTCAGGCCGAAAGCCCGTGGACATAAGCCAGCCTCCTGGGCATGAGAACCTGGTCACATGGGCGCGTGCCTGGTCACATGGGCGTGCCTGGTCACATGGGCGTGCCTGGTCACATGGGCGTGCCTGGTCACATGGGCGTGCCTGGTCACATGGGCGTGCCTGGTCACATGGACGCGACCCCCCCTGGGGAGGGGAATGCAGGACGGCTGCATGAGCTGCTGGATCCGAGAACTGCCTCCCAGGTGAGGTCTCTGTGTGTGCTTCCATTGAGGTTTGCAAGATGGTCAGACAATCGAATGCCTACGTGTCTCGGCTGGATCAGCGTTGATGAATTTGTGTCCTCCCCCACTCATTCTCTCTCACACCCCACCCTCTTCTCTATCATGATGGTCAGACAATCAAATGCCTACGTGACTCGGCTGGACCAGCGTTGATGAATTTGTATCCTCCCCCACCCATTCTCTCTCACACCCCTCCCACTCTTCGCCCCCATCCCCTATCACACCACCAGGTATCACTGAGTGATCTGGAGCAAGCAGCAGCAGTGGCACAGGCGTGTGTAGCGGCTGAACCGACAGACCGACCCCCCATGCTCCAAGGGTGAACTCCCATTCTCATCTGCATCCTCTCCCCCCCCACCATCCCCACCTGTCCCGCCACACCACCAGGTATCACTGAGTGATTTGGAGCAAGCAGCAGCAGTGGCTCAGGCGTGTGTAGCGGCTGAACCGACAGACCGACCCCCCATGGGGGAGGTGGTGCAATTACTGAAGAGACTAGAGGCTCTGGTGAGTGTGACTCTATCGAGTGTGACTGTAGTGAGCATGTTAGTGGGTTTACAGCCTCCTAGCAAGGCGTGTGTGGCAGCTGAACGGACAGACCGACCCCCGTGGGGGAGGTGGTTCAGCTGTTGAAGAGACTTGAGGCCCTGGTGATTGTGACTGTATTGAGCGTTGTGTGCAAGTAATGGTGATTGTGACTGTATCGAGCGTTGAGTGCAAGTAACGCATGTGACTGTAATGCACAATCCTCTTTCCCGTGTCCCACCATTCTTTCCCCTCCCTCTCCTCTCTCCCTTGCTACCTCCCTTCGCCTCCCACAGCACGACCAGGAGCATTCAACCCTAACCACTGACCACTCCCCCTACGGATCCCTGCTGCTCTCGAACCAGCCCCTTCCATATGACACGTACAACCCTCCCGACTGTAGCAGTAACCTTTTTGAGACATCTCGAATCTCGAATCAGCCACTTCCATACGACACGTATGACCCTCCCGACTGTAGCAACGACCTTGCTGAGGATTTGTTAACAGCTGATACGGGCAGTGAGGATGGTAACGAGGGAGGCAATAAAGAGGATGAGAGAAGTTAAACCCGCATTCGCAAATGCTGCTGCTGCTGCTGCTGCTACTGCTGCCCAAGCAGCAAAAGGTTAACAGGACAGTCAAGGAAGCTGTCTGTCTGGTACTAGTATGTTAAGTAACACCAGCCAGCTCCAGCTGGGTTATTTAAAAAGAGGGTTTAGGGACAAGATGGTAATTGTCTTAAGGTGCTGGAAGCCCATGAGGCATCCTGGAACAAAGTTTTCCATGTCCAAGTGGGGGATGGATGTAATTGCTGTCTTCATAGATTTGAGATGGTGTTGTGATCGTATTGCACTTGCTTAGAACTGATACGGTAGTGTAGGGTGAGTCACACAATGCTCATCAGTTGTCCCTCTGCTTGGGTGAGGCAGGGGTTCCGGACCTGTTTGCCGAGCCTGCTGGTGTGGCTGTGGCGGTTCGGGAGTTTGAGGCTCGGCGGATTACGCGGTGCGTGAAGGTGCATCGGCATGCGACCAGGCTGATTGGCTATGGGAGGAAGGAAGGGAGTTTAAGTGGAGAAGCCTGGTGGATCAGATGAAAGCTACCATGGAGTTTACGAGTTGGATGTATGCTTACCCTGACAAGATCGATGGCACCACCTTTTTCCAGTAAAGTGACTCGGGATTGTTCATTCCGAGGATTCAAAGGTGCAAGGGCTAGATGGTGCCCAGCAAGGGCAGATTGTGCATCGAAAGGGAGAAGTTCACGGGGGAGAGAGGCCGGTGAAAGGTTTGATTGAATACATGAGATGCATGAATGGTACCCACCCAGACTCCTCTCCCAATACCGTAAGATCAATGGTCTCATTCAGCCAGATTCCACCTGAAAGGCCTGCTCGAATCGAGCAATCAGGCCTGTTATGTTAATGTACTTGTTACACTGTATTATACACCTTTTCCAAGCGATGATTGTCATACAGGACAAGTATGTACTTTCCTACCATGCAATGCCATTATACAGAACAAGTACCTCCTTCCTTGCCCAAACTGTGACTAACACACGTGCACTTGGTCATATCAATCCTTGCCATGTGCATTCACATGAGCAGCCATGATAGGCGGCTTTTGAGGCGCCTCAAAGACCGTGTGAATTCACACGCGCAGCCATGATAGGTGGGAAAGAACGAAGAAGAGGGGGAGGGAAGGGGGAAGGAAAGGGCAGAGGGGGAAAGGGAGCCCCAGAGAGGTGGGGGTCGGTATTGGAGAAGGGAGCCCAGACAACCATCTCGGTAATCGCTCTAGGAAGGCTGTCTGCCACACAGCGCTTCAAGCTCATGCTTAAGGAGAGAAGGTGGGGAGATGGGGGGTGAATGGGCATCGGAGACATAAGGGGGAGTGCAGAAGAGGAAGGAGGTTCCAACGGTGCACTTCGGTAACTCTAAGAAGGTTGTCCCATGCTGCTTCGAGCTCACGCCGAAGGAGAGGAGGTGGGGTGAAGGGGAGTGAATAAGTAGGGGAGACAAGGGAGGGGAGTGCAGAGGGGGAAAGGGGGTCCCGAGGGTGCCGCTTTAGTCTCATGCCAAAGGAGGGGAAGTGGGGAGATGAGGGGTGAGTGGGGAGGGGAGCCAAGGACGGGGAGTGCAGAGGGAAAAGGGGCTACCCAACCCAAATTGCATCTCGGTAACTCCAAGAAGGCTGTCCATGCCACTTCAGGCGCATGCCAAAGGACGGGAAGCGGGGAGATGAGGGGTAAGTGGGGAGGGGAGCCAAGGACGGGGAGTGCAGAGGGAAAAGAGGCTACCCAACCCAAATTGCATCTCGGTAACTCCAAGAAGGCTGTCCATGCCACTTCAGGCGCATGCCAAAGGACGGGAAGCGGGGAGATGAGGGGTGAGTGGGGAGGGGAGATAAGGGATGGGGGAAGGAGGAAAGGATTGGAGGGGGTATGAGGGGTAATCAGGAGAAGAGCTGAAGGGTGCGTGGGAAGGGAGACGAGGGGAGAGCCACGGGGATGAGGGAAGGCAAAGGGAATATGAGGAGAGAGGGGGGGGAAGACGACGGGAGGGCAAGGGGGGGGGGGAGGAGCAGGCGGAAACGAGGGGAGGGCGGAGGAGGTGAGGGGAGAGCGGAGGAGGATGAGGGTGAGACAAAGGGAGGATGAGGGGAGAGTGGGGAGACGAGGGGAGAGCGGAGGGGGATAAGGGGAAATCGGGGGGAGATGAGGGGAGAACGGGGGGAGATGAGGGGAGGGCGGGGGTCGATGAGGGGAAAGACGAGGAGATCTCGTGGGGGCGGGGGGAGGAGAGGAGAGAGCGAGGGGAGGGGTTCCGCGGCATGGAAACGTTCTCGTTACGCGAGAGCTTGTAACATGCTCACCAAAAGCCGAGGTTCGCGAGAGTATGTAGCAAGCAAGCTCGTGGACCTCTCTTCTTTCTTACCCGCCCTGCCTCGCCGACTCCCTCCCATAATGAGTAAATCTCGTGCCTCCCTCGCTCTCGCGTTTTTTCCTCCATATTGAGTTTCTCGTTTCCAATGTCTTGCGCACAACGGTTCAGACTAGAGCGCCTGCGCTTCGCCTGCCTAACGAGATCGACTGCAGCCGCAATGCCGACGCGCTCACAAGTCGCGCTGATCAAGCAACCGCATGATAAGTGTCCGCAAGTCGACATTATCAATTCGTCCGCAAGTCGATGCTACCGCGGTCATAACCTAAAAATCCTTAGATCCTTCGACTACTGGCTGCTTATTTCACTTGAAACATACACCAGTACTCGTACAGCTTCTAGACGTGGGAAGCGGCTTCTGGTACTAGCAGTTGGAAGCGGCAAACATTGAACAGATAACAAGGCTGACAGATTTAGTTGAGAGATTCGCGCTAATCGGCGAAACTGATAGAGTTGAGGAATGTTGTTGTAATCGATCTTCTCAGCCTCGGCGATGAGCTGGACGGGAAATGAGCTGGAGGGTGGCGGATGAGGGTGGGAACAACCCCCCAAATCTATTGGCTCGCATGATCTTTTCTCAATCACCACCTGTCTTTTTCAGCTGCCCCGATCAGGTTCGCACGGAACAAAATGAACTGCGAGAGCACCTGAACCATCCGTTCATAAATCGAATGATTTTCAACGCAATCCCGCAAATCACGCACAAATTTTCGTTAATACTCATACTATCATAGTCAAGTCTAAATATGTAAAATACACATGCCACGTCAACCACCTCCTAAAAAGTTCGTTTCCTGCCCCATGCCCAGCCTTTCGTACCCGATATCAGAGTGCCCGTCAAACCACAACACAGTGATACGCGTCCTCAGCAGCTCCGCTTGTAGCAAACTGCAAACCAACCCACATTACCTTACCACCCTTTGCACTGTACATCTGAAAATGGTTCACGATGTCGAGTCGCGCTGAGATGAGTTCAAGTTCAAAGCGACTTTGGGCCGCCTCGAAATTTGAGTCCATCGCAAACACCCTCTGACATTCTCTAGGCCGAAAGTTGCATTGGCGGCGTCAGCCACCTTACCACACCCTCCAAACACAAGGCTCCACCAAAACTTCACCATACACCAGCGGCGGTAATCTCCGCCATCCGTTCAGTATTTTGTAAACCACCTTGGTATTGAAACGGCACCAATGCACCATATCAGAGGCCTTGCGCTTGATCCCAACGCACCGCACTCAGAAAATAACAGCGGCTGTAATCTACCAACACGCGCAAAAGCTTTGGTATGAGTCCACATGCACACAATCGGGTCGCCTCGAAAGTCCCCTAGAGAACGTTCTGAAATTTCGTAGGCGGGAGATTTCTATGGTGGCTGCGGCCATCACATCACATCACATCTCCATGGTAACGAATCCGCACCATTCATCAATGGTGGAAATCATCTCTACCATCCATTTAGCATGAAGTCGCCTCCTGTAATCCGCAAACTAGTCGCACCAGTAGCAAAGGTCCCGCGTTGCACCGCACCGCCAACGGTACCTTGAGTCAGAGCGGCGACCATCAACATCGACCATACATACTTTCCGAACCTGCATCGCCGCACTGCAAACATTTTGAGACGCGCCGCGCCGATTGCGCACCCCGCACCGCACCCAGAAGTTTCCGACACTCCAGATGATCATTTTCATCGGCACACTCCTCCTTCCAACCACCTTGTTCTATCGTCCCTTTTCTTCCATCTGATGCACTACAAGTTCCTATCGTGAACTTCATTCTCGAATTTCCACCTTCCTAGTTATTCCATCGGAAGGATTTTCAGAGGAGTTCCGTCTCAATAATCTCCAACCCAGCGAACTCCGTCCTAATTAGCTCCGTCGCTATTCATGCGAAAAGCTCAATGGAGCAAGGTACCATCATGAATCCACCAAGCTAGTGCAAGGGAAAGGCCAAGGCAAGCAGCAGCGCGTCTTAGAGTCCGCGTAGGTTCGCGTAGGCGTTAGAGTTAGCTTAGAGTCTAGAGTCGTGGGTGGGGTGGGTGGGTAGAGAGTCTAGAGAGCTGCTTGCAAGCCTTGGCCGGAACCTTGTACTACGCCCCGTTCTTCGCGGCAAGAACTACATCGCAAGAACGCTACGGTGAAACTTCGCCTCTCCATGGCGAACGGCGGCATCTTCACCGAGAAATCGTCGCCGCGAGCTCTTCACCGAGAAATCGTCGCCGCGAGCTCTTTCACAAGACGATCTTCACTTCAAGAGCATTAAGGACTACAAAGGCACTTCCCCCGTCGCTGCTGGCATCAAGTCCTTAAGACTCCTTCAAGCGGAGGTAAGAACAATTATCACGTCTTTCCCACGTCTTTCGCAATAATCACCTTTTTTTCGGATATAATCTAACATATTCACTCTCATCCTGCAGACAACAGCCTTCAACCAATCTCAAGCAATCTCTACTGAAGGCATCAAGCCCGCGAGCCCTCAAGCCTACCGCCTTCAAGTCAAGATCGTCGCTCTTCTCGTCGCATGACGGCAGCCGTCTCCCGTCAGAAGGCGTTACGTCTCTTGTCGAACGGCGCTTGGCGGATCGGTTCTTAATCTTCGGGTCCGCTAGGACCGATCTTCTACTTAAAGTG